AAAGCGTATTCTGCGAAACAAAGATTTCAAGGCAGAAACTAATCTGGAGTAAAGGAAGCTGATCCTGTCTTATTGTCGTTAAAAAAAAAAAACGATGTCAGAACGTATCTTGAGGATTATAAATGACACAAGACGGCAATTAACTGAGCATACAGTGCAATTAACGCTCATTTATAACAAATCCAACAGTCAGTGCAGTGATTAACAAGTTTGTTATAACAATTCGCTAATCCTGGGAAAACGTAGATTTTTTTTCTCTCAAAATTTAAAAGGAAAATGTGGAAATCAAAATGTCTTCTTTTGTTTTAGTGTGTCCTCGTCTGTTATCTATGTATCGTGTACATGTATATATATTTTCTTTATGGTGGTGTTTTACCGTTATGTGACTTTGTACCTGATGGAGTGTCATACCCAAGTTATGACATTACAGTGCTCTGTCAATCATCAAGTGACCAGCCAAATTAAGCCAATTATGTAGGTGATCGGGTGGCGCAGTGGATAGCGCACTTGCATTTCACAAAGACGACCGGGGTTCGATTCCCCGATCGGACCTGAGCATTTATGGAGTCACCTGCTCGAACCCGTAGGTTTTCTCCGGTTTCCTGTCACATTCAGACCCTCAGTGCGCTAACATCCGGGCCAACAAGAATGATTAATTTAAGTTGAACTAATTTCTTTCATATTTTTTGTAACATAAATCAAATTTATATATAATTATGTAGGTCATAAACTACCTACAATAAGTGAAAAATATCCAATACTCAAAGACAGTGAAATGTCTGGTTGGAGAGTAAGTCATGTTGAAGATCGGAAGATTTCGTTTGTGTAGGTTATACAATGGTAGCTGTTCTGGTAGAATATCCAGGATAAATGGCTTGTTTGTCGACCATTGGAACCTCCTGAGATTCACCACGCTGTGATGCAACGAAGACGCACACAGTACAGTCTGTTATGTAACGAATACAATGTACCTTTGGGAGGTCTATATCAAATTAGGTTCAAGTTCTCAGCAAAACAATTGTTTTCCTTAGTAACAATGGTTGGTGCAGGAAGGGGAGATGTACGTTTAAATAACTGGCGGTTTTTTTGGTAGAATGCTTGAACTTAAAAAAATACAGGTGTAACGTAATTTCGATTATTTTAAGCTACAGTTTGCGCGATGAATGTGATTGTTTGGTTTCATTTTATTCCAACACATATTGAAAATATATTTTCCATTTACGATTTAAATTTTGGTTACTTGGTACATCGTATGAGGTGAAATCGGAAAAAGGTGTGTGACTACAACTGTAGCATCATCTTCTACAATATTTTGCTGAATAATGGAGGTCTACAAAATCCTCTTTAGAATACCATTCTTCGATCATGCAAATATTGATTAATAAAAACAATGTACAGAACCTTGGATGATGTCAATACTCGCTGTTAATCGAATTATTTTTGCGCAAGTTTGTATACCTACAATGCACCATGTAAATGTTATCTCATAGTTGAACTTTTCTTTCGCTTGTTTTGGCTCTACTCGTATGATATTATGAATGATGTACAGCTATAGACTTCAGTTGAGATCTAATCATGATTTATAGACCTTATAATCAAAGGAGACTGAGCTAAACGTATTTCAGATCAGGTCCATGTTTGCTCTCGGTGGACATTGTATTGGTCAGGTTCGTATATTGATTGGCCGAATCTGAAGTCCATAACTGTTTTCTTATATGTCATTTTACACATCCCCCTCAACCCTCTGCTCTTGTTACTTTTAAATCACTCAAACCTAAAGGATGACATAATGGAAAGCTGTCTAACAGTGTCATATGTCTCCTGTGATTGTCAAAATAAAACAATCTCATATAAAAACAAACATCAAATGTAAATTTTATGATTTTTATTACATATTTTTTAAATCTTTTTGTATGTATTCAGCTTCACATTTGAAACTACTGTATCTATGTGCATAAACTATGCACGTTTTGTCTAGTAACAATTTAACAGCATGGAGATAGCAATGGGAAAATATCACATAACAATTATAGCTATACAAGGCAGTATTGTACACCACGTTAACTCATTTACCCCTGGAATTTCATAATGAACTATACCAACCATTGAATTGGAAGAGTTCAAATGTGTCTTCAGGGGTGAATGAGTTTATATCACATCGAATACGGGAAAACTTCATTCATATAAACGTATAGCATTGATAACTCACTTACAAGACAAATAATTAGAAAATTATGTTGTTTTGATACAATTTCAATTCTAATTGATTTGCTATCGTTGTAAAATTTGTTTTATGAAATCAAATTTATTTTTACTGTACGCCTCACGTGTTATTCCTATGAATTTAAGTGACATGATATAATTCCACATGCAGAAATAAATTCACATTGTACAAAAAGATAAAACCTATTGATAAAAACACTGAAGAACAGTATACAAAGGCCTTTGATTTTCTTTAAATTTATATCTCAAATATTTGAAAGGATAAAAATAATCTTTTTTTAAATTTTCTCCACATAAACTTCACATGAATTTAAATAAAGGCGATGTGGTTATGGGTATTCATACTAGATTATCAGCGGACAGATCCATTTATATCACTAGCGGCAGGGGGGATTTAATGCTTTGTAGTAAATGACTCGATTTCTCTGGAGATGATATCCAATTAGTGGCTTTGTGCTGAATAAATAGCAAATTTGTACTTTGAAAACCCCAAATCTTTCACTTTCTCACATAAAATAAATATAAAATCATTAACACTTTCTTGTGATGGAGTTTTCTAGTTATTTCATGGCCACCAATTACAGAAACATATGTTCTTTTTCCACAGTCCTGTCACATGAAATAGAAATCAAATAGTTTTATAGACTCGAATTTCTGTATATCAAATGAATTAAAAAAAAACTCATAGAATCCGGTTATAATGGCATCTCTGCCATCATTCTTATAATTTCACATAGGGACATCTAATTAAAATTTGAATTATGTACACTTGTCATCCAGTTCTTACTTTCTTACGTCATTAAAATGTAGAATATAAAACATTGTTTCCATATAAAAAAAATGCATAAAAAAAGAAAATGTTGAAATTGTTAAGAGTCCGTTAGAGTAATGCCTGGCCTGTCTAAGGTCAAGGTAGTGTACAACATTAGCAGGTCCCCGATCGTTAACGGGTATTATTAGCGCATGACTTGCCAGATTTACTGTGATATATAGGATTATAAAGGTATCCGCGTTCGGGTGCCAGGAGGGACCAGTTCGGGTCCTTTTCTTACATCATGACACAAAAAATTAATATCATCTGAGAGTAGCATTGTTATTCTGTCACTTTTCAGTACAAGTGTGTGCCAGCTCCGATAACTAACCACTCACTCCCGTGAAATGTAACAGTACTCTCTATAGAAAGTAGTTATTTCTTTAAAGGCTTCCATGATATATTTTCATATCAGTGTTATACGTTTTGGTACGATTTTTTCAATGGATCTCAAATATTTTCTTTTCTTTCACGACGCATAATTACCACAAATAACTGCGAACTTTGACAGAATATGACATCATTAGAATATTTAACAACATTGCACTTTTAACATAACTACGTAAATCTTTGGGGGGGGGGGGGGGGATATTTATTTGTTAATGGGTAGCGTTATTTTCAGTACCTGTTCACAACAATGTCATAATTTGTTTTCTTCCTCGACATCTGCCTTGCCATGTTATCAGAGCCCTAGCAGGCATGTTGACTCCATGTTTCTAAACCTTAAGATTCCATGCCTGCATTGCTTAGTCCATACGAAGTAAATCGACCAGAAATTCTATATTTTAATCATTTTAATTGGAGGTGATTGGTAAAGTAATGGTCTATTAAGATATTTGCTCCAAAGAAATTTTGATGTTTCTGTTAAATTTGGCAAGGAACGAAGGTTAGACCGGCATTTAGCAAATATTTGGTATCACAAAAACGTATTCATATTTTTTGGAAAGATTACAATGGTTTAAGGTGTGAAGGTTTCTGTTTAGGGTAATTTGCGATTAAGGAGCAGCCTATACAATTATACCTCACGGTTGTTACTTTCTGACAAAGGTCATTTGGAATTTTAAGAACAATTATGAGCTTCACAACTTTTGAAAACGACATGACAGTCTGGAAATCTTCATTATCTAATTAAATCACAAAATGAACAGGTGCCGTTTACATCGTATTTAACAATGAAATACCAACGGGCGACATTTTGTATGAAACATGGAGGTTAATAACTGTTAGCATAATTATCGGTTTTGAGCAAAATCATTGGTATTGCTATATAAACGTTTCTGGACTCCACACTCCTACACGTTTGATAAGATCTCGTTTTTAGGCACAGTATATATGTCGGATCATTAAAGCCAAAATTCATGGATGACTTTACGGAAGGAATTTATAACTGGATGCAATATTTGTCTACAGTGTACCTACAACCATTGAAGTGAAACAACTCGTTTAAGAAAATCAAAATTATAAAATATGGCGGTTTGAAATAACATTGCCAATAGACCAATAATGTTTTGTATATTATTTTGTTTGATTTACAAAACAGTTTGTATAAAACCAATTATCAGAAGAAAAAAACCCATCTCTACATCATTTTTTTGTGTGTGTACAGAAGGTTGTGTAAAACTTCTTATTGTTATCAAAGTGAATACTGATAATGCAATATTAAAAAGATCCAATATGGCGTCTGTCTAATAACTCACAAAGAAGGAGAAAACACTGGCATAACATTCTTGGAAAGATTCAATAATCTTTTGGTCTAAAAGACCACACCAACTAATTTCTTAGACGCAAATAATCGCAACATTCCACTTCCATATCAAAGCACTGTTATACGGTACATCCATACCAGGATAATATGGTTTCATTTATAAACATAGAAATGTTTAAAATATCACATGCTGAACTTCAGTGAAGATTTTTTTATAATTTCTAAGATAAAAAAGGATTACCATATATATATATTTAATGGAAATTATTAAATCATGACTTTTCTTTGTTTTATTAAAGAATCCCCTCACTCCATACTGCCATTTAACACGTTCATGTGTATAATACTGATAATATTTTCATACATACATCAACACTCTCAAAGTCCTTTGGTCTCTTAACACACAGTAACACGTTCAAGGATCCTCCGAGAATCTCGCATGCCATTCCCACTTCCTCTCACATTCTCAAGAAACATTCACGTATACCAATTCTAGGTAACAGTCTAACAGTCTTCAACATCTACACCAGTGGGAATAGTTATCATTTAATGACTAAATCATCTCATTCCTTTGGCACCATTGTCTGGATTTCGTTCAGAAAAAAACATCACGAAACTGGGAAGTATCAGCGAACATCTTGCCTTTCAAAGTCTGCAAAATACAAAAACAAAAGGGAAAATAAATCACAAGTGAAAAGTGCATATTGTCATGTTTCTGCCATTAAATGAAACAATTACGGTTTTGGTAATTGATAAATTGTCACTGCATTTCAATTCACTCGCAGTGTTTTATTATAATGCACATCCGTGTCTTGTTCCCCATTGTTGCACCATCACTGATACACCAAATCTTTATTGTTTATTTATAGTGAAATTCTATTCTCCCAGACGGCTTTGAATTGTATCTAGAAGGCTGCATCAATAGATTACCATAACGACATCTTTCCAAAATGTTCCTGTGAATAGCACAGAGTACATATAAAATATATAACGGATTCAATACCGAAATGCATTCTAAAGAGAAATTTAAAAAGGCTAACTCAACGAACGTATTGTTTAGTTTATAAAGGAATTGTATTTATTAGCAGGGATTCTAATTATCTTAAATCAATGCTATTACCGCGGGATACTTTTGGTTTTTTTGTTGAGGAAAATCGAATTTCTGCGGAGAGCTCGCTTTAGAATTTTTAAATTGGAACTAGATGTTACCCATTACTACAGCGTTGAGGGAAGGAGGATTCGTAAGAAACGTATCAAGAAGAAGTGCACACACTTATATTAAACTTTTTAAAAAATCTAAAAAGTGCAAGGTAAAGATCACTTCGCCGTTGTACATAAGAACAACTTTGAAAACACAAATTAAATTTATTTAATTTCAGTTTCAGAGGCCAATTTCACTAATTATTTACTGAAAGTTGCTCTGGGCACTAATTCCGTGAACTGTCGTAATTAAAACTAGAGTACAATAAATAATTGGCCTAAAAATAGATAGCAGGCCTATGCGCAGCGACAGTGACAAATTCTAGAAAATCCTGCGTACATGTCCGACCTTTGCTCCAAATTAATTAACAGTAAACACATCAACTTCACCACAACAACAATATATCAGGAACGGGAAGTACTTAAAAACTCGACTCTACTTCTGTTTTTTTATTTGTCTTCCTCCCTTTTTATATGTGTACCAACATGCACTTTCACTTAACATGTGTATAAATGATAAGCATGTTTGTTATTTACTTTCACTTTACCTATATATATATGATGGACTGTATCATTATCATCATATTTTTGGCATATGAATTGTACTTTCATTTTCCATATATAAATAATTGACAATGCTATTTTTTTGGCATGTAGTGTACTTTCACTTTACCTACATCAGTGATGGACTATGTTCTTAGTGTAATGGTCTAGTTGTGACATTGATGAAGTGACTCATTTGACCTACATCATTTCCGGGACATAGTCAAATTAATCTTGGTCAAACTACAGGCAGTCAGTTCGCACAAACATCTTCGATGACTCAACACAAAGATACATTTTTTATTTGTTTAAATTCGGTGTAATCCTCCACCAAATTGTGTCCGACTATGCTTATTCTACCTAACATCGTATTATTATGTTTAACTAAGTCTTCAGCGTCGACAATTCTAGCCCTCAGGTATCACATTTGTAATGGCTAGTAAAAGTAAATACCATTTTAAATTAGTTTAAGTGTAATACTGGTAAGAGTTTGTGTACATACGAAGAGTGTATATATATACGCCAATGAGAACACCTATGTGAAAGTCCCACCAGTAAGTGGTATTTACGCTTAAATGAGATCACGTTTACCGACACAGTGGATCAGTGGTCATTTAGTATCAACTGTTGTTCAAAAATGAAAGAAAATGAAACTTTATATCTTTTTCTTATAATTCGATTATTTTTTTTAGATGTTAGAAAAATGTTAAATAATGGTAAATAATTTTTTTATAGAACATTATTTTGCAAAATGGTAAAATAAGGACTCATGATTAAATAGTTCTTTATGTGAAATTCATTCAAATTAATTATTTCAAAATGTTTTCACATCACCTTGAAAACCTTTTTATACCCTTATACATTGTATTTGTATAAAAGACACAAGCCTAATTAGGTAAACTTGAGAAAAATTTCACAAGATGACATTTTTTTAATTTTTTATTTACAAGATTTGATTACCAAATTTTCAGTTAAAAAGATTGCTGTAATTGTTGATATAAATAAATTTGTTTTTTAAAAGATTTTATTAAGAACAACATTTGTTAAAAAGCACAATTAAATCATATCATAATTGTGGAATTAAATTGAAAATTTTAAGATTTTAGAATGATTTTTATTAATCACCTACTATAGACTAACTTCCACTAAAAGCAAAATGTTTTCAACCACAAATAATTAGTTATCTGTCAAATACAAATATAGTGCAGTTTTAGAATCCCAGGAATGAAACCCTGTAAATCTCACTACTTGAATCAAAAGCACTTTCATGTAATTGAATTCAGATTTAAAGATTTTACTAAGTTGCTATGTAATGTGCACCATTACAATGTTTCTACTGTTAAACATGATATTTGCTCAGCAATGACAAGATAATTCTTCCATTTTACTAATGGAATTTGTATTTAAGATAAGATTTTTTTTATTTTTTTTACATATATCTTACTTTAAATGCCTGGTAAGGTTTCAATGGAACAGAAAATTGACCGTATTTGTCAAATTTTCACTTAAGTATCAGATGAATTTAATGTTAGCTTTGAAACGACACTCAAAATTGATCTCTTTAAGAATCTAGTATACTTAAGCCAGAACTGAACATCTATAGAAACAAGTATTCTCAGATTTTTATAAGAAGCTAAAACAGCATACTTTATGGGTTTTTTAATTTTTATTTCTTCAACCTGCATTTCTGTATTTATAGCAAGCATATCTGGCATTTAGTGTTAGTGTTAGTGTACTTTATTTGATTTCCTTTCCACGATAACCAGAAATTTTAATTAAACATTCAAACTTCATACTGTGACATCTTAAAAACATGTTTTACATGTAATTAATCTTTCAATTTATGCATGGTCCAAATCACTTCACATAAGATTCCATTTTTTCCAATCTTTAATTAGAGAAATTTGTCACCTGCATTTTATCTTAACAAACTGAAATATAATTGTACATAGCAGAATAATTGATGGGCCCCACACCTCTTTAGAACTAGCTTTTTTGGTTGAATATGTTAAACAGATCTTTAAATGGAAAAAAAATGCATAGAAAATTACTGCATTGCACTAGTGTACAAATATTCATTGAAATATATGTAGTACATTAGGAGAATCATGGTACATTTTTTTATCGAATGAGGCATACACTGGGTAACTTCACAAAAAGAAAGTGTTGGAATGAAATCAAATTATGTAGACCAAACTACTTTACAGGGAAGTATAATAATTAGCACTTACTAATTAAATTAAATGGAATCGTTTGTCAGAAGTTTCTTTACTGAAAAGTGTAAATGTTTTGTTTGCTATTTTACAGTAATAGATTTCTTAATTTGTCAGGCCATCCCTTCTTGAATTAATCAAAACTGATCACTCAAGACAGGTTCAATATGTCGATGACTTGAAATCCTATTTATAAATATTTTGTTGATATATGACATGGTCCTTGGTCTGCTTTTTCAGTTCTAAGAAAATATGCTGTTTCATTTACAAAATGACTGAAGATACTGAAAATAATTGTTTTGTGTTGAAATTTTTCTGATAATAAACATACATTTCTGGATGTTACAAACTGCTTTCTTGGTCTGTTTCTGCTTAATATTTTGGATATTCTCATTCCACTGAACTAGTAACCCCATCTAAGATGAATGAACAGGTAAGGTATCATTAGACATCCCTGCCATATGCCAAACAGATGAAAAACTTCTACATCCCATTGGTAAATAAAGTCTGCTATAGGGCTTAAGTAATAACTAGAGACGAAATTACAAGGTTAGGGGGCCTACTTCACACAACATAATTATACACCCCGATTTGAAATTGGGTACGATTTCCGGAAGAATTCAGATTCGGACGTTTCTCTGTTTGATAACAGGATGGTCATTTCTACACGAGTACTTTTATGTACCTGTGTATCATCTTCGCTGATCTATAAATTCCTCCTTCTTCTAGAACAGACATATCATTATTCTGTTTCCAGAGCTATCAGATAGAACGGAGAATAGCTGTTATTTTCTTTCATCTTTTGTCCATTGAAGGGGTAAGCTATCTGTAAAATACTTATCTTCATACCACAGAATCTAAATTGATTTTTTCGCTTCATGGATATAAAGTGGGTCTGACAAAAACTAGTTTGACCGCTATATATGATGTGTAGATTTCAACTGCTGAACCAATCACTTTGTACAGCAGTCGATAAATCTGGACGAGTCAGAGGTACCCGGAATCAGGGGAGATAATTAGTATAGGGGTTAATGATGTGTAGCTATCTGATGTGACAATGTTTAGCAGTCACAAAGCCATAATGGCAATCATTGAATCGTACAGCGATTCCGCCACGATAACCATCTACCCTCTCGCTTTGATCATGTACAGTCCTTAAAACCCCAGAAGTTTGTATGAGTTTTATTAATATCTAATAGTAAATAAAATATACCCAAAAATATTTGATAGTGGAAAAGGAATTTGTAATTCTCCATTGAATTTATGAGTCACAAACCGGTTCAGGTTTTTATGGGTTTGAACGGTGTGGTTTTTCGTCACCTTTCATCGTTTTCGACAATTTTGTAAATCATATTTAATTTACTTTAATTTTTTTGGAAAATGTTTGTATTTTTTAAAATGACTTGCATCTCCACGTCTTATTGATAATTTATGAACCAAACAAGCACACTCAAAATAGCCCTGTTTTGTGTCAGGGCTGAAAATTACTCATAATTGAATTCACAAATTGAATTTTCTGAAAATGCGAACTGTCAAACATTTCGGATTTTGAAATTTTCATTTCTAAAGTGTTTTTGCCTTTTTTTTCTCGTTTAATTCAAAATAAAGAAATTCTACATATTCCAATAAAACATACATCAAAATAGTTTAAAAAGAAATATTTCATTTTAAGGTGAAAATCACATGTATCAAAAAGATAAATGACCTCATACTACTCAAAAATACATCTATCTCAATATCAAAATAATACTGAAAAAATTGTAAGGAATATCAGAAAAGAACATATGTTCACAGGTTTTCACAAAAGTACTTTACCTAAAGGTCAAACTCTATAGCTCAGATGGTATACTATGTGTACCAACACTTCTACAATATAAACTATCATCTGATGCAGAAGATCCTGTCTCTTAGGGACCACCCCATACATTAACACAGTAGAGCCTGTCTTGAGGGACCAGCGCCGCCCCACCCGACCGCCCGCCCGCCAGCCCCCCCGCCGCAGTTCTCTCTGTACATTAGAACGCATCTTGTGAGACCACCCCTTCTCTACAAACTGTAGAACCAGAATTAATAGACCTGCTCTTCTCTCTATACTGAAGAACCTGTTTTGTGTGACCACCCCTTTTCTCTACAGTGTAGAACCTGGATTAATAGACCTGCTCTTCTCTCTATACTGAATGACCTGTTTTGTGTGACCACCCCTTTTCTCTACAGTGTAGAACCTGAATTAATAGACCTGCTCTTCTCTCTATACTGAAGAACCTGTTTTGTGTGACCACCCCTTTTCTCTACAGTGTAGAACCTGGATTAATAGACCTGCTCTTCTCTCTATACTGAATGACCTGTTTTGTGTGACCACCCCTTTTCTCTACAGTGTAGAACCTGAATTAATAGACCTGCTCTTCTCTCTATACTGAAGAACCTGTTTTGTGTGACCACCCCTTTTCTCTACAGTGTAGAACCTGGATTAATAGACCTGCTCTTCTCTCTATACTGAATGACCTGTTTTGTGTGACCACCCCTTTTCTCTACAGTGTAGAACCTGAATTAATAGACCTGCTCTTCTCTCTATACTGAAGAACCTGTTTTGTGTGACCACCCCTTTTCTCTACAGTGTAGAACCTGGATTAATAGACCTGCTCTTCTCTCTATACTGAATGACCTGTTTTGTGTGACCACCCCTTTTCTCTACAGTGTAGAACCTGAATTAATAGACCTGCTCTTCTCTCTATACTGAAGAACCTGTTTTGTGTGACCACCCCTTTTCTCTACAGTGTAGAACCTGGATTAATAGACCTGCTCTTCTCTCTATACTGAATGACCTGTTTTGTGTGACCACCCCTTTTCTCTACAGTGTAGAACCTGGATTAATAGACCTGCTCTTCTCTCTATACTGAATGACCTGTTTTGTGTGACCACCCCTTTTCTCTACAGTGTAGAACCTGGATTAATAGACCTTTCCTTCTCTCCATACACTAGAAACTGTCTTGAGAGACAACCCCCTCTCTCTATACAACAGAACCTGTCCTGAGGGGCCACTCTTCTCTCTACACATTAGAACCTATCTTGAGAGACCACTCCTTGCGTCTTAAAAGCAGAACTTGTCTCAAGGCTTTTTTGTCAGTACAAAAAAACTTAGTTAATACAGTAACAATTTACTAAAGGATAATGAGTGAGGTTTGGAGGAGAGGAAAGGGAAGGTGGAGCGAGAGTTAGACTGGTGTTCTTGGTCAAACGGAGTCGAATTCAAATGGGGCAAACCTGTAAAGACCACCCTTATAAACCTCTGTTTTCCATACACCTAAATATGGTTAGATGACTGGGTTTCTTCTTTAATGTATACTACAAAAAATGAAGGATGCAGAAGTTATAGAGTAATTAATTAACAGCACTTAGCTTTTCATGGGTAACACTGTAAAGGGAGATAATCTAGTTGTCTCCCATTGTTTCATAAATATATCAATATTAACTTACCACATATTCTGGACGGTTCTTGCTATCACACAAAACAATCCATGCCGACGGCCATATCTGTACGTAAATCATCTTCTTCCACTACATAACTCCCAGACGTCGTTGTATTATCGTCTTCATCATAATCCTCGATCGTCGCCATAGACGTATTTAAATAGTCTGCAACACCCCGCCAGTGTACGACGGGGCCGCGCCCCTTGTGTGGGACCCCCCCACGTGAGGGGTAACCGTTTATGTGACTGTTGAGATGCACTGTCCGTGATTTGGGAGGTAACATGTTGCCATGTTTAAAATGTAAGTGGTTAGGATTAGGTACCCTCCGTGGGTCACTGTTTTCACTATTTGAGGGCACTCTCCGTGAGTCAGCCCCATCCCCTGATGCAGATGTATTATCCTTCCGTGGTGAATTGGACGGTGTATACATATTTTTTAAATAATCTACAAGAAAAAGAAGAAAAAACAAATGACATCAGAAAAACCCCATATGTAATTGAAAATTTGTAAATAAGGTTAAAGATAAGATTTTGTATTGAAATAAACTCTTGAAACTTTGAATTTACTTAATAAAATTGAAACTAATAAAACTTTTCAAAAATAATTTAAAAAAAAAAAAAAGAGTTTAAAAAATAAAAATAAAATGCATCAAATAGATATATTCATATTCTAAAATATTGAATTTGAAATCCAATTCAATGAATGTTTTCATTTTCCTCTTTAAGCTAAGATTTATACTCACAGGGTCGTGAGGACCAGTTAAGATACGTACCTAATTCTAGACAGTGAGAGAGACCGCCACTACTCTGTATGTCACTCTCACTGCCTCCTCGGCCGCTATCACTGGTCGATGTCTCTCCAGAGGTTTCACTGTGGTTGTCCTCCTGTCTCTTGTACATTTCTCCCTACAACATCGAAATTTTTTCCATAAAACATGTACCTATATAGCTATGTGGCCAACCAAGGGCAGTTAATTCTGCAATAAACCTGGAGGTAGTTTCCGATTCAAAGTAGGGGGATGTGCTTATTACAGGACAAGGAAATAATAGTTGATGACATTTCTACTGAACTGCAGTAGATATTGGTGGGCTTATTACCAGGCATGGGCTGATTGCTGCATATATTCAAAATATTTTCTTAAACTACGTCACAGGAGTAACACATGTTGGGAGAAGGCCTAGTACTGGTAAGTTTTCATAACTTGTGCCTAATCCCTTTGACTGTTTAATGTCAACAAAACAGTTTGAATGCAAATAAGTTCAGTATTATGTACTGTTGTCGATAACAGAACGTTGAAACCCTTGAAAATCTTATCTTAAATATTTGAACTTCAATTTTAATTTCAAAAAATCGTTTTAAATCGTGAATGATATTTTTCACTCACGCTGTCTGACAAATTTATTCAAACAATATTAAACTGATAGTTCTAAAAAGTATGAATCACCTAAAAATGCTAACACAAGTTGTCCTATCAATTATTTTGTTGAATTGCCTATTAAGCAGTCTCCTTTTTCATTAAGAATATTGGCTAAATAGATGGCACCTCTTGGCAAGTAGTGACTGTAGTTTATTTGTTTAAAGCTTAATTATCAAATCCTTTTTTCTTTTTTTCTCACCATTTTGTATGATTCCTGAGCGCTCTTAAAACAATTACTTAAGACACAGCGCAATGCGTTGGAATTTTATTATGTAATAAAACATTTAATTTTGGATTCAAATGAATTACGGAAGGGAAAGGAATTTTTAAGCTCAATTAATTCTATTGAGAGTGAATTTGTTTGTTTGTCAGAATTGAAAGCCTTCTAAAACGACTAAGTGTAGAATCAATACAAAATTCCTGTCGAGACAATAGCTTGATCAGGGCATTGTCGTAAAGTAATATCGCTACCTGATCCGAAATCCACAAGGAAAACACAACTTGTCACCCATATTAAGAAACTGGAATATGTCCAGACGCCATAACAGGTTTGGTGTTTCGTTGGGTTTTTTTCCCACCTTCGTGACTCACTACAGATTGAGTGTAATTGAACGAAACAGCCGACAAAGAAAGATGTATTTCGCTGTCAACACTGAGTCTCTGAATTCTAACAAAATTTACTAATTAACATTCCATGTAACAAAAAATTAACACTTTCGAGGCGAAAAAGAACTTTGTTCATTATACTGAGCATTCAATTAAAAATAAAATTGGGCCAATAGTTTCAACATTTGCACAGATAACATCAAACTCATTATAAATAATTGATAGAAAAAATAATGAACCAACTTACATATATCAGAGGGAAGGCAGTTTAATTAGGAAAAATAAATACTAATGAGAATAGTTTTCTACAAAAAAAATCATAATTACTGTCAAAACATTTTTTTTCAAAAGTGTCTACATTTTTCAACTTAATCTAATGGAAAAGCCGTGAGTTATTTAGTAATAGTAACAACTATAACCTATTAGACTGATTACATTTTTATAAGCCTTTTTTTTTTTCTTTCAAATGGTGTCCCTCGACTCTTTCCAACTTACTCTAATGGAAATACTTCAAATTACTTTAATTATCACCTATTAAACTGGTGTAAAATTAACCTGTTAGTTGCAACAGGGGGCTGTTTATTAGGAAATCCAACTGAAGCTTAACAGACCTCCACAAGAATTATTTTTTGTACAAGTCTGTTTATTTCTTTTCCTGACTTTCCAATAAACATTTTTGATTGTGATTCATAAAATGTTATTCACATGTCAATATTTGTTTGTATAGATTTCATAAAGACAAAATTGATTGAAAATTCCCACAGTATTGCATGTTCTGCAGAATGAAAACCATTATATGCAGGTGCTGGATCAGCAATAGATCCAGTACAGATGTCGAAGATATCATGTTTAAGTATCATAATATTTAGTTTTAATGTAAAGTTCAGTACAATTTTATAGCAACAATTATCAGGTAACTGAAATGCATTTATATATCAAATGGAGAATTCATATTATAACAATTGTAAAAAAACGAATACAGATGTTTAGTTAACCCTTTCACCCCTACGTAACTTTAGTAGACCCTACCATGCATTGATATGGATGAGTCCATTATGATCTACAGTGGTGAAAGGGTTAAAAGGTGCATTATGACGTGAATGAGTTAGTCACTGCCAGCTAACATCTGGAACATAGCCCGAACAAATGGTTTAAACTCTGTGCTCTGTTGTCATTTTGCTTATTTGTCAATAACATATTCGTGTAACGAGCGCTAATTGCCGGTGAGAATAATTAATTCACCCTGACAGCACACAAACCTAATTACTGTTTGTGCTCTCCCAAAACTACAATGATTTACCGCATGTTTTTACAGCAGATTATCTAGGGTAAACCCGGAGGAGCCCTGAATCCTTAGATAGAGTTAAATTGGTACCAGGCACACAACACCTATTTCCTTATTTACCCCTACATTGTACAGGTAATCTTGTTGACCATGTAGGACCAAACAAGTGGGACGGATAAAGAGAATATCAGAATACAGTTTTTATTTTGCAATATTTATAAGAAATGTTGATTTCACAGAATTTCAGAATACTCATGGGTCGGATTAGACATAAGGTTTTGCCGTACAGTGAAACCTGATTGAGGGACCACCTCTAATAAAAGACCACCTGTGTAAGAGACCGGTTTTTAAAAATCTCCATTGCAGTTATTTACATTTTTACAGAACCTTTATTAAGAGACCACCTGTATAAAAAGACCAGTTAAAACAAATTCTGTTGCAGTTATTTTCATGATAATTTAACCTGTGTTAAGAGACCACCTGTGTTAAAAGACCATTTTTAAAAATGTACATTGCTGTGATATTCATAACTGAACCTGTTTTAAGAGACCATCTGTATTAAGAGACCACTTGTTAAGTGGTTTCCCAATGGTGTTCTCCAAAATCAGGTTGGAGTATATATATGCAGTAAAAGCTTCTTCAGGTATGACAATGCTACACATGAACATGAGCTTATTAGTGAGTGTGGCTTATTACATGTTAAACATTTTGTAGGTGTGGGCGACCTGAACAGCCTTTGTCCCAATAATCTACCTCAGGTTTGAATATCTTGAAAGAGTTTTGACTTTAAAAAGAATTTGCCATTCTTTGGGTTTCTTTGAATTGTGTTGATTTAACAACAAAGTCGTGTAATTATCCATACAGTAAAAAGTTAACCTAACATATATATGTGTATTTATATATATAACTGGTAACAGGTGACACATACCCAGCTTTATTGAAATATTGGGTCAAACACACGAAAATATCTTGTACACATGTAACTATAACATAACCTACTTCTTGTGCCAAAGACTTTTAGTATTTGGCTAGAAGTTTTTAGTGTTTCTGCTTAAAACAGAAGTTGGGGGTAAAATCAAGCATAAATAATGTATTCTGACCCTTTTACATAGCAACCCTGTAACATTTTAGGGTCAAAGGCCATTTTAGGAGGTCATATACTCCCATAGTGTGGTCAACGGAAACCCTGCTTTTTAAGAAGTAATGATCATACAAGTCTGAAATGTTTTCTAAATTTTCAGGATTAAAATGTCGGCTTGCTAACACAGGGATACAAAACATGATTATCAATAAAAGTTTAGGCTTATCTGGCATGTATACTTGCCATTACCTGCCAATGATACCTGTTTAACCCTTTCACCCCAGGTAACTTTAGTAGACTCTACCATGCATTTATCAGGATGAGTCAATTATGGTCTACAGTGTTGGAAGGGTTAAGATTTTTGTGTGCATGTGTCTGGCCCCTGTGTCTTTAACATTCAGTTTTAAATATGGTAATCATGAAAAAGGTTAAGAAACAAGATAATCATAATTTCAGTGCATTTGAAGTAATTAGTGAGTTTTATTCTGCCCTTACCTCTAGATTAGGATTGCTTCCCCAAGATGGTTTGTCGCAGGCCTGGAGGTAGTCTTGATGTCGCTGAAGCTTAGCTACGGTGGACAGGGGCTGTTGTTGGAATTGTGGATCAGGGTTGTCTTCTCTTGGTGTCCCTCTCTCAGGTTTGGGTGGAGGCATAATTCTGTCGAGTATCTGGCCAACAGAAAACCAAACATTATGAAGGACCGGTGGTGATAACGAAAGCATAACACATTCACCCCTGAAAACACATTTGAGCTCTTCCAGTTCAAAGGTTGGAATAGTTCATCATGAAATTTCAGAAGTAAACATAGTCAGCTTATTTCTATATTCATCCAGAACTTATTGAAGAAAGACATTTTTTCTGCTTTGAAGCAGAAGTAATATGGCTCTTACTTGTGTTAAACAAAATTTGTCAAAAATCCCTTTTTTGATAAGTTTGCAATAGGTTGTTTCAAGGTAGGAAACATTCCCTTTATATAAAGTTAAAGGAAAAATAAAATCTAAAACAAGGACAGAAACATGTTGGAATAGTTCATTATGAAATTTCAGGGGTTAAGTGGTCCCTTAACTCAGGTGGTCTTTTAATTAATACTTAGACTCCATTAACATAAAAAGTTATCTGCCGGCCATAGAGATTTTTATAAGTTGTCTCTTTAAAAGATGCAGGTCACAGGTCTCTTAATAGAGGTTGTCTCTTGAGCACAGGTTAGACTTTTCAGTTTTAAACTAAACATTTTTCATCAATGATGAAGAGAAACTTTTTTTAGAAATAATTTACTCCTTTCATCACTGTAGATCAAAATGGACTCATCCATATCAATGCCTGGTAGAGTCTACTAAAGTTACATAGGGTTGAAAGGGTTAACATCATATATATAATATATATATGTTCTGATGATAAATTTTCTATACAGCAGTGACTAGGAAAATTCTTTTCTGATCTTAACAAAATAAATATACACCTGATCTTCTTGATATAGTAATATAATATAATAATTAGGTACCTGGCATATTCTAAAGAAGAAGAGTTATTAATATGTTATCATATAAGCAGAGATAGATCTTTAAGGATCTATTTTAATACCCTCGTTTTAATATGATGCAAGTTTATGACTGTTTTATAGTGAAAACTTTGACAGATCAACGTTAGGTGTTAAATTTCCGGTAGGTGAGAATTGATTTTAACTTATAATGTAATCTAGAGACCTTGAAAGATACAAAATGAAGTGTCCCCTACCCTGAAATATCTGTGTAGATATTTTCCTACCTCGGTGATATCTGATGCATCTCAGAGATACCGAAAACACCACCCAGACTTTCTATCTTTGTCCCTTTTTATCGTATAAAAAATCTGGCTTAGTTTTTCTATATAAAAAATTCATCACATTGTTGAAGAACACAATCGTATATTTATAACAGTTACAATGGCAGCCGAAAGGTCTGCGGTCGTAATGTACGCTCCGACGTGACATATTAAAGGGTCTGACCGTACCCCATATGTTTTAAACAGTAACAATATCGTCACTGAACTTAACGGAGCTGAAAACAATACCTTAAGCACACACAAACATGCAATGGGTTTTTGTCCCCGTATCTGACACAAACATGCCAGGCAAGCAAACACAATCAGACTGTCAATTACTAAACCGTTATTGCCGCTAATTAACATATTTCGCTTTTCAATCGTTCACGCACCGAAAAACTACACATCACATGAACTTGTTGTCAAAGTATTATTTAATAAAGAAATATTGAAAACCCAATGAAATTAGTATCATCACTGGGGTCAAAATCGCTACGAAGCAATTCAAAGCTGAAGAATTTTTCAAACACGCAGCTGCTTCAGAAATTTTTGTAAATTGAAAAATAAAATTGACTGAATGGTGCAATTATTTTTCTATTTTGTCAAATATTAAGAATTCCCAATGTAATTTGTCATAGATAAAGGTCAAAAACATATGGCCTAAATATTATACATCAAACATGAAAATAAACAAGTTTATAGGAAAATTAGAAAATATTTCATTTATCAAATATTTTATGTAAAAAAACATTTGATACCTCTTTCACATCAGGTTTTATAATGAAAAATTCGGTTATACAACTTCAAACGAGTCATGTGACAATGATGAAGCCGTTATATCTACCAGGATTTGTTTGTCGAGTGAAAAGGCTCGAGTAAAATTGTACTGAAAGCTATCAAGCGCCTCAAAAACACAGATTTTAACCAGCCCCAAGGAGTCCGTGAGGTGCTTACCTATCAAATGGCACTATTCTGGCTATCAATTTCTTTCACATTCGTTTTTATTATTCGATATAATTATCTTCTGTCGGGGATCAAAGTTAGATTCAATAGTATATTCATTAGCTGATGTTTTGCTGCATGTTTGTGATAGGAACTGAAGTATTGATAAATGTTTTAAAATGGGAATGTTTTTATACCGAACTGTTTGGGGAGTGATAAAGGTATTTAATAAAATGTCCGAGGTATTTAACTTGATGTTTAACACGTTTGTCATCGTAAACCATTTGATCGCGAGTCATGATAGCGGTCTAAATCGTTCTGTCCACCAAAACACCTACCCGCCAATCCTCCTCTTCCCACCCCTCAGTCAGTTTTATGTGTGGCCATCAATTATCCATATTGGATTTGGGAAAATTGATCAAGTTAATAAATAGGCGTAGCTTGAAGGTAGATTGATGCAGAAAGATTATACACATTTTTCATTCAGCGGAGGTTTTCTGGACGGTAGTTTATACAATAGATATCCACAGTCTATCGGTTTCATCACAAGATAACGGCTGTACTTTTAACACGAAAACCGAGAGAATGTCAACTTTTAACTGTAGTTAATGTCAAAACAATTATCACTCAAGCCCGAGTTTGACATATTTCATTAAAAATTTGATACGAATAAACAGAAACATGAAATCAGTCAACAACAACAAAAATATTATCAATGAACAAAAACATTCAAATAATATATGGATCACAATCTGCGATAGGACTGCAGATCAATTAGAGTAAATCAACAAAAGGCCTCTGGGACCTGTATTGCTCAGCTGGACATTTATTGACTTGTCAAAAGTTAATTGTTCTTTATTCCTTGGTCTAAATTTAGCCTAATTTGAGATTGACCTTTGACCTCCTTAATTTTTAAATATCTGTCAAAATTAGTCCAGAAACATATGATGAACAACATTAATACTATTTGGCTTAAAAAGTTTCAGAACCATTTGAGAATAGAAATAAGAAGCCCATGCTATCAGATGCGTGTAGTGAAAACATGTAAAGATGATTAAAATATGCCTGAATGGTTACATGCATATTAATTATAATTACATTTGTTTGACTAGCAGGATTTTTTTTGGAATCAGCCCATTTTCACAATATTACCATCATTCTGAACATGGTACACCACCTTTTCTGTGATCTTTATCCTACAGACAAGCTCATCGCAGTAACCATGACTACCCCGTGGGAGCTGTCCAAACTTTGGCTGTGATGTTTGGGAATGCTCATTGTTACCCAACTCAACACCATGTAATTAAGATTTGATTTCAAAATATAGTTTCTTTTCATGTGAAGCGAAAAAAAAATGTTGCACAAAATGGAATTTGCAGTTTCATGTAGCTTGTTGGGTTTGTAGTGTTGCTTTTCTAGAAAATGTTTACTGTTCTGTCGAATTTTCGGCTTCATTATCTATTGCAGAAATCATAAAAAAATTCTCTGCATACAAGAACTGAAATTTGAAAAGGAAAGCCAAAATTTATGAATGAGATATTTATTGGAGCTCAATTACAAGGAAAAAGTGTTTGCAATTGTTATTGATAAAGTTTCAATTCCATAATTAATAAATTATCTGAAAATAATTACCAGCAATTATTATATATTCATTCTTGTGTACTTTTCAGATTCAAACAGTATCATAAATTGATTAACTTCAAATTAACCCTTTCAACACTGTTTACGATAATGCACAGGACTCATCCAGATCAATTTATGGTAGAGGTTATTAAAGTTAACATAGGGGTGAAAGGGTAAACATTTTACAAATTTCTTGGTTTGGAACTCTTCAGGAAAAGAGATAAAAATGTCGTAGTCAGGTACTGGCAGCATGCATCCTTAATATAATGTGCCAGCTGTGTCAGTGACTTGAATCAAACCGTGTACGATCTGAACAGATATTGATCAGTCACAACAGTTTCCCCCACTGACCAGCTGACTCTTAACAGAATTGTTGATGGACAGACATAGTACCTGGAAATATCTTATCTGGATCAGAATCGCACTGAAGGGTCATTAATCATTGTATCGGTCACATCGAAATTGGAAATTCAAAATCAATTTTTTTAAGTATAGATATTTTGTATGGTTCTGTAATGACTGTAAATTTAAAGATTTTTATCTGACGATTTTATTCCGCACTTTCATTTTTCGTCCTTTTATTGAAGTGTTAAAACATCTTTCTTACATAGGTATGGTAAAAGGTGTTTTGAAACTTAGGTGATAGGTAAAAATTGACAAAACCTTTTGAACTTTCCAATATAATTACGCTGTTGGGGTGAAACGCCTTTGAAATTCGCTTTCCGTTATCACAACACTATAAAGATGTTTTTCAATACTGACAATGAAAGAAGGGTCACAATTATACGATATGATCTTCATTTAAAAATATATACATTTGGGAATTAAACTTCAGCTATAAACAATTTTTTATGGCATTGTCAACAAAAATAATCAATTCAATAGTTACTGAACCTTGATATTTGACCGCACAAGTAATATGTCTCATTATACTATCCAATCACACAAAATGTCAAAAATAAAAAGTTGAACTTTTGCAACAAGATTGACAAGATATTTTTTAGCAATTTGTTTTTAACCAGATTTTCTCAACAATAGCCTATATTATTATCATAAAAGCTGGACTACTTAAGTTTTGAAAACTACATATTGCATTTTTATCTTGTACCTGATAAAATATTACCTGTACATTAAATTTGATGGTTTTCACAAATTTCATCATTTTGAAGATTTTTAGATATTAAAGTATGTTGCTTACATGTATAGGATAATACTTTGCATTTGAACTTTTTTTTGTAATTTACTTTTTTAGGTTAAACATTCTGATCCTTGATATATAGAAAAACATCCATTTCAAATTGACATTCTTTATGGTTTCCTAGCAATTTTACAACCTTGACATAGTTTTTATCCATAACTGAAAATGAGTGTACATGTACGGCCGTTACAAATGCTTATTATTGCGTACCTAAAGCTGATTACATATTTCTCTTTCTAATTCAATATTTACCATAACGATCTATCGGTAATGGCCCTATGGGTAACATACATGGACATCAGAGATGGGGACTATCAAGTTCACGGAATATTTATTAGATTTCTGGAAAATTGCTACCATCATGGCAAGTTTCCACAAAGCCCTCTTGCCATGGAAACGAGGAAAAAATATAATTCAATATGTCCAAACTCATATTCTATAGACTGGAGATACAAAATGATACGATTTGAATTTCACAGTCACTAGACATGAATGTCAAATGTTTCGAGTCCAGAAGAATTGAAATTGATGTATTAATTATAAACCGGAGCAGAAACTGTAAATTTCATATTCATTTTGTTGGCTGCGATCACAACCTCGTGTTTCAATGGCAAGTTTCTGATAAGAAGCGCTAGGAAGAATTGTATACTATATTGATACAGCATGGACATACGAAATTCGTTCCCATTAGTTCCGAAACATTGCTGTCTGAGAATGAGGCTATCAAAGAAACAAATTTAAAAAAAAAAGTTATTTGCGGAGTGAAATAAAAAAAAAAAATCAATTTAAATGTTCAATGTATTTTTTACTCTAGAGATTTCAAACAAATTTCCCTGTTACATTTTAATCTTGTCTACCCTATAACTAACACTTACTCTAGATGAAGTTCTTTTCAGTCAAGGATATACTTTATTTAAGCAAAGCCCCAAAAAAGGGGGAGTTTAAATGAATACAGTCTATTATTCTCCATTTAAATGAAATCTGTTCCTTTTCGGCGAAGCAAAGGCAAGACAGGTATCAGCATTTGTATATACGAGGTTAATTGGTTGGCAATAATTGTCTCTAATGACGACTAATCACAGGGCACAAGGACAGGACCACGATATAACCAGTATAGGAAACTCAGAATTAACACGAATTATTCCTATCTTCAGTCGACTCTGATCTACCGATCCCAAATCCCTTTTCACTTTTATGCGGAGCCATGACTCACGCGAGTGTGTCTCTGTTTACCTAGTTTTTCCTTTGTGGAACATCAATTACAAAGTTCCCGGGTAATTTTGGACAACAATTATCATAAAATTGCTTTGGAAATTTTAAATGGCATCTCGATGGTTTTAGAAAGACATAAAAAAGAACTGAAAAGATAATTTCTGGAATGAAATATTATCTGTTGGAAAGAATTTAATAATGCGACAACTTTGGCAGTTTGAATGTGAGAACTGTTGTAAAGGTATTATCATTATCAAAGAATTTTATTAGAAAAAAATTGTTAAGACTGATTGCAATGCTATTTTTCTCACCGTTCTGCATTACACCAGGTTATTGGTTAATATCCTGAAGTCTTAAATAGTTCCAAGTTCCAACATTAATGTTTAAATGACATTTCAGAAAAGCTTTTTTGAGAAGAAGTAATAAATAAAATCACATGTACATGCAGTTAAAAAGTGTATTGATACATGGATTTAATAAAAACAACTTTGGTCAAAAACATTAAGTATAGGAGAAATGGTTTTAAATTGTCAATATTTCTTGACAACCATGTAAATAGCATAAAAAACAAGAGGTCNCCCCCACTTATTTATTTAATCAACTAAACACAAACCAAACTTTAATTAAAATTATATCAAAGGCTGACCATTCATTATGCTAGAATTATTATTTAGGGAAATATTGTCAGTTTTATAGCATAACAAATTGAATCCATACAAATGTAGTTTTGCTATTCAAGTGTCCAATATTGCTGGAAGTTACATTCAATATTCATGATTGCTTTAAGCAGCTGGTTAGGGAATCTAGGCCATCTAAGTTGGGGGAAGGTTATAGCCTAAGAGAAAACAGGTATCGTTTTATTCAGAGACTCATTTTAATCGATATTCATTGAACAATTAACAATTCTGTTTATCATGTTTAGCTTCTTGAAGTTGTGAACCTATGTATTGTTTCGCTATAGTTTCTATATATACATTCTTGATTTAGATCCCCCCTGC